TAATGACAGGTACTAATGTAATGCTCTGTAATTGGTGCTACTGTGCATTAGTGCAGATGAATGGTTTTTAAGTGATGTTAATGCACATTAGACTAAACCTGCTGCACATCAGCATGGGTTTTACCTACCATGGTAATGCACAATAGAATTAATTTTCTGCGCATCAGGGCTAGGGACACACATTAAAAAAGCCTGAGCCTGAATTGATTCAACCTTTGAAGGTTAGTGTAACCTGGCAAGGCTGAACCAGTTTGCAACCGTACAGACATTCCCTCCGGACTGAAGAAATGCAGGCACATGCCTGCAGTGGCTCTGGCTAGAAGCAGGGGGTGCTAGAGCAGCCCTCCCTTCCCTTGCGTAGTGCTGAGCTGAGGGGGAGCATGGCCAGGCCCTGGCAGGATGCTCTGATTAGGGAGGGGTTTCCCCCTCGCTGCTTCTGACCAGTGAGGGAGCCAGCAGGGAGTTGACAGCACAGCATTTAGCAGCCCATCAAGAAAACAAAAGTCTCTCTCATTAGTCCAAGCTCTTCTTAAACAACTTTTTCCAAGGCAGGAACAGAGGGACATTACTAAGTGACCTGTTGATTAGCTCCAAAAACCCCTAAGTGGACACTGTCCTGTCTGCTGGCTATGGTCTGTGCTGTGGGAGAGGGGAGGGTGGGAATCCCTGCTTGAGCAGCAATCAGCAAGGGAAGCCAGGCAGAATCTGCTGTGCCCGCAATCTCTGCTGGAGCTCCAGCTGGGCAGCATGGGGAGCAGAGGGGCAGGGACAGCCCTGGTCTGGAGCAGAGAGCCCTGCCCAGGGCTGCAAAACATCTGGGATGCTAGGGGACTCTGGCTAAGCCAGGAAGGACTGCATAAACTGGGTTGCCCAAATCAGTTAAGTCAGATACTACATTCAGCTAGGTTTATCTCAAATTGGTTTCAGACATTTTCAAACTGGTTTATATTCACTGAATGTCTGTTCTGTTACAGGCTTAAACCAGTTTCTGATCACTTAAACTGCTTTATGTGTAATGTCTGTCCCTAGCCTAGGTGTCTTGTATAGATGTGCCCAGAGAAAAGCAGAAGTAGTTCAGCTAAGCAATGCACCAAGAACCAATTCTTTAATGCAGTGTTTCTGAAGCTGTAGGATTGTTTTCAGTAGAGATGGAGTTGTAGAAAGGACTAGCCAGGTGGTACTCAGATGGTCGTAACAACTATTTTCAAGACTCTCAGTTTTCATTAAAAAAATTAGACTCTAGTTCAGGGGTTCTTAACCTTTTTTAGACTCAAGGCACCCCTCAGAAAATGTCAATTCTTTCTTTACTCGTTTTTGACTACAGAAAAAATAATAGAGCAATTCTTCTGTTCCAAAGAACTCAGAAAGATCAGATCAAGTCACAATGTTTTTAACGCTATGCATAAATCCCTAGTCAAAATCTCTGGGTTTATCTTGTTTGCACACCTAAGAGTGCTAACATGATGCGGCATTCTGCAGTACCCTTGAAAGGTTGTCCAGGCAAACCAAGGTGCCATGATACCCTGATTGAGAATCATTGTTCTAGCTATTACAGTAATGAAGAAAACCTTTAAAATGAGATGGAAGTATGAACGATATGGTTATGCCTACCTAAGTAAAGAAAAAGTACCTTTTTAGAATCATAGAACCGAAGGACCAGAAGGGACCTGTAAGATCATCAAGTCCGGCCCTCTGCCATGGGCAGGAAGTTATTGGGCTCAGATGAGTTACACTTCCCAGGCTGTATGCTTGGGCAAAACCACTGACATTCAGATGCTTGTTCTTAGGTAGTCCAAAACCATCCCAAATATTTAAAAGGAAAAAAAAGCCTGAGAAAGAGATGCCAGTTGCATTAATTGACAGCTGCTTTGTCAATAGAAGGGGGCAGGCAATTGAATAAGACCATCCTGTCTCCTCTCATAAAAGAAACAGTTGTCCCCTGTTTGGGATTGCTCTCACAGGCAAATTGAACACTATCTGATACGTATGAAAGTCACTGTTTACATTAACCAATATAATAACTCAAACTTTTTTTCTTTCTGCAGACTTCTGACATCTGCTGGGTTCATGCAACTTGTAAGTATCAAGGCACTGGAGTTGCTTTCTAGTTTTGTTTCTTTTTACCATACTTGTATCTCACCAAAGGTGACTATATCAAAATAATATAATCACCAACATATTATTGATACCATGCTAGTGCTCAGAAGCTCCACTACGATGGGTGTTCCACAAACACTTAGACCCAAAGAGTTTGCAGTCTAATACTGGGTGCACTTTGGTTCTAACTTCTTTACACCATAAGATTTTAACCATGTACCCAGCATCCATGAAGAGACCTACAAAAACACACCATTTGCTGGTCACAAAGACAACAACCTCTCACTTGATAAAGAGGGTAGGATAAAGTGGGGCAAAGCATTGCTGGCTCCTTATCTGTGGTGATCTACACAAGGTATGCTGACTTCCATGATCCAGGCAGACTGAAACAGGAGGTGGAATAACCACACCCACCTGCTGATATAAACCAGGGAGAGGGAAACCTCTCCTTTCAGCTATGGAAGAAGGCTTGAGCTTTCCTGTTTCCCTTATTTCAACCTCTGATTGTGTCCAATGGAGCCAAGCTGATCTACACCAAGCTGAGGGTCTCCTCCATGAATTGCAATCCACCGTTTCTTTGTTTCTCTCTAGAAATGAGCCTAGACCAAAACCTGGGCCTTGAAGACTCCCTTACTTCAGGGTGTTGGTCTGAATCTTGGTTGGGATCTCAAATAATTTACCAGAACCCCCAGTTCCAACCATTTTAGCTGATTTGAACCTTATAGCTCAGGTCCTTTCTCTAGAGAAGATCTTCTGAGAAAAACCACATGAATACTCCTTCCCTTCCTCATTTCTTAATTATAACCCCAGGCTACAAAGAACTCAAACCAAAGAGGTGAAAAAGTGGTGAGAAGAGAGGGAAATGAGCCATGGAAAGTATTAATAAAACAACAAGGGAAAAGCTAGAAAATGGGCTGGACTTTGAAATAAAATTAACCAACTTGTTTTTTTTCCTTGTCTTTTTTGCCCTTCTCCTTTGGCTTGTGCATGGAAGGGCCTTCAAATTCCACTGGCATCGTTCGCTGGAAATGGAACATGACAAACTGCAGTAATTCAGTGCAGAACATCACTGAGAATAATCATGATATGTTGGAGATCCTGCAGGATGGCTTGTACTTTGTGTACAGTTCAGTGCACCATCTCAATAGTATTGATGATGACAATTTTACGATAATGCTGCACAGTAAGAATTACTTGCTTGACAAGGTTACTGGGCCAAATTGTGGAGACACATCTTCCACAATCAGTTTTGGAAGACCACATCTCTTGAAGAAGGGGGAAAGGCTGTACCTTTTATTCAATAACAATTTGATGTACATCTCAAGAAATATAACTTACTGGGGGCTGTTCAGAATGCACTAGGGTTCCACTCTTGAGTGGCTCCTGCCACGCTCCAAGGAACTTGCCGTTTTTCTCCATATCAAACCCAAGAATAAAGCAGAGGTTTTTCTAGCAGTCCTCTACTCATCTTGTCAGGGTGACTAAAACAGGCACTCAGTAAAGACATGGCTTTGTGATACCGGTAACAATGATGGATATTGTCCAATTGTCACCAGAAATGAAAACAGACAATTCTGGAACAACATCGTGAATGCAGGAATGAAACATCTTGATACAGGCGAGGTGCCAGTCAGAAAGTCTTGGGAAAAAATAGTCACTACATCCTGCTGTAGTGCAGAGTATATTAACATTTCTGAGCTATAGTAAAGTCTTGCTGTATAACTGGCTGCATTTTAGAGGTGAAGAAGAGCTATCACCATTGATACATTTTGTGAAGTGACTTGGGGATCCTTTTGATGTAAGCTGCTGTATATAAGCTTGCCACAAAGAGTCCTGTCTAGGGACCAAACAATTTAAAGCTAAATTGGGATTGAGGGACAATTCCTAAATCACCTAGGACTTAAACACAGCTTCTTTACTTTCTGTCCTTTTCTCACATTTATATTTATCAAAGGAAACTAGATCTTTC